GATCAGTACCTTATTCCTTTTTTTAAGACTGAGTCTTGCTCTGTAGCGCAGGCTGGAGTGCAGTGGTGCGATCTTGGCTCACCACAATCTCTGCTAATTTTTATATTTTTAGTAGAAATGGGGTTTCCCCATCTTGGCCAGGCTGGTTCTGACCTTGGGTGATCTGCCTGCCTTGGCCTTCCAAAGTGCTGGGATTACAGGTGTGAGCCATCGTGGCTGGCCTGACGGGTACTTCTTCTTCTTTTTTTTTTTTTTTTTTGTGAGACGGAGTCTCGCTCTGTTGCCCAAGCTGGAGTGCAGTAATGTGATTTTGGCTCATTATAACCTATGCCCGCAGGGTTCAAGGAATTCTCCTGCATCAGCCTCCTGAGTAGCTGGAATTACAGGTGCCTGCCATCACATCCAACTGATTTTTGTGTTTTAAGTAGAGATGAGATTTCACCATGTTGGCCAGGCTGGTCTTGAACTCCTGGCCTCAAGTGATCTACCTACGTTTGCCCCTCAAAGTGCTGGGATTATAGGTGTGAGCCACTGTACCCTACCTCACTGGTGCTTTTTAAAAAATTAAAATAATCCTATTGTTAAGTGACCCACTTCTTTAAAATGATATTCCTAGTTCGTTACGTTGGAATGGAAGTTTGATGTGATAAAATGGCAAGGAGGCAGCTGACCTCCATAGTGAAGCCAGAGTGTCTATAGCAGAGAGCATTCTGGGAAACTGTAGAGACTAGGCTGAGAAAATAAGGAAGCCCCAGCCCTGTCAAGTGAGACCCTATGTCTACAAAANTACACTTATTTGCAAGCCTTTTATCATTACTGTCCATAACAGTATTAAAAAGTGTATCTTCCTGAAATAGAAGTGGGACAAGTTTAAAGTATTGAGGGCAATAATGCTAAATGTCATGAATCTTTCCAGGATTTAACCTAAGGAAACAATCAAGGATGACTATAAAGATTTCCCTACCAAGATATTCATTGCAGGACTGCATATAAAATAAGCCTTTAAAGGGGAAAATCAAAAGCATTCAGCAATAGACAAATTTAAAGAATATTGTGACATTTTACTATGAAGGCTATAGTTAATATTTATTAAATACAACACACTTTTAAAAATGCATTGTGGCTTGTGATAAGAACACTTAACATGAGATCTACTAAGTGTACAGTACAGTATTGTTAACTATAAGCATAATCTTATGCAGTAGATTTCTAGAACTTATTCATCATGCATGACTGAAATTGTATAACTTGAACTTTTGTAAGATATTTTCAATAACAAAAGAAGCCTCAACAATAAAACAGTGAGATATGATTTGTGAAATATAAAAATGCTTCTATATGGAAGGGAGCATACAGGTGGTCCTATGGATATGTATGGACATCTCCCTGCTTTTACACAGTCATGAACACTAACAACCTATTCTATTAGCCCAAAGGCTCAAAACACAGAATTTGAAACTTCTAATAGTCATACCTTGATTTTCAATACTTCATTCTCTTTGTTCATTTCTAAGAGCTGTAGGTCTTTTCCTTTGATCTTTTTCATAAGCAAATCCAAACTGCAACAAGAAGTATCCATTTCAGAATGAGAGCCCTGTTGAAGGTTTCCACAGCGCTGAAATGGACAAACATGAAAATCATAGACCTGACTATTTTTCCCTTTACAAACTTTGACAACAATAATGATCATTTAGTGTTACATATATCAAAGAGGCTTCAGGTCAGCATAAATAAACATCTTTTGAATCTCAAATATCAATGGGAAATTCTAGATGAAACATCTGACTTCTATATTTGCTCAAATTTGAACAGATTCTTTTTTTTTTTCAGTAGTTTTAACTGACCTGGATTCAAAAGACAAATTATATGAAATCTCCTGAGATGCATCTCCCACCAAAATGTACATCAGGTTTATAATCTTGAGTTCCCTGACTAGAGAGATCGTGTTGGTCACATTCTCTATAGCAACCAGGCATGGTGCGAAGTGCATGGGAGCTCACAGTTAGCAAAAGCAGGCAGCCCTGGAAATCAGACTATTGTTAACAGAGTGGTGAGCACTATAGTAAGAGGAAGCTCAGAATGAGGACATTCAGGAAGGCTTACTGGAGGAGGGAATACGCGAGCTAAGTCTTTTTTTTCTTTTGAGACTGAGTTTTGCTCTTGTTGCCCAGGCTGGAGTGCAATGGCACAATCTCAGCTCAGCAGCTTCCGCCTCCTGGATTCAAGCGATTTTCCTGCCTCAGCCTCCCAAGTAGCTGGGATTACAGGCATTTGTCACCACACCTAGCTAATTTTTGTACACACACACATATATATATGTATGTATATATATATATATTTTTTTCTTTTAGTGGAGACTGGGTTTCACCATGTTGGCCAGGCTGGTCTGGACTCCTGACCCCAGGTGATCCATCTGCCTGGCCTTCCACAGTGCTGGGATTACAAGTGTGGGCCACTGCACCTGGCCAAGAGCTGAGTCTTGAATGACCAGTAGATAGTGCTCAGATCCAAAGGGGAGGTGGAAAGGGGACATGGGGAGGGTGTTAAGTAGAATGGTCATTGGCAAGGAAGGCATCATAATGATCTAATTATAGGACTAGCATCCACCTGGGTATTCGTGCATGTTAGGTTAATTGTGACCTGTGTGCCTCTGTAACACAGTACTGATGATGTAACCCAAACCTTGAGGACTGGATTTGTGCAGTTCGCCTGCATTCCATTCCTCTTAGGGCCCTGGTTTTATCTAGGGCTGGCTGGGCAGTTACTGACTTGTGCATTGGAATCAAGCAGACTGATGGTGATTGTTGAATTGATTGCTGTATTTGCAAAAGATTATTTTAAAGATAGAGGCTTTGGTTAATTACAGAGAACTCTCAACACACTCCAGGTTTTTTGTTTTTTTTTTCTTTCTGTCTCTGAGACAGACAGCTGATCTGGGTCAGTGTTCCTGTGTCCCATGGTTTTGGTTTCTGTGGTATTTACAGAGTTTTGGTGATGTCCCAGCTTTCAGGAAGTCTTAAAATACGTGCCTGTGTGTACAGAGACTAGCATATGTACATCTATAATAATTAAGAGTGGTATCTGCTCAGCAAAGAGGCTTGTTTCAATGTGGGGGAGTATTGTGGAATCTCTGTTTCAAGGTTAATCATTCATTTACCTACCCACTGGAAAAACATTTGTGGGCACACACTATGTACCAGATACTGAGCTAGGTGTCAGGGATCCAGGAAGGATAATATAGAAGGTGAAAACCAAGCAGTGTTGTTAAAGGGAAGTATTAGATTTGTGATGGCTAATAGGCTTCCTTCTGTGGAGTGCCAGCTTTGGTCATTTGCCAGTGGTGGCCTACAATGCTGGGATTGATTAGTGATGTCTGTCATGGGCATAGAATACAGTGAAAAGGTAGGAATGCTGTTGATTGGCTGATGCTGTGTTAGGGTTGTCTGGTATAGACAGATGACAAGATTGAGTAAGGGAGCTAGAATAAAGGATGTTTGTTTTGGTGATATTGTGGATGGAGGAAAGTAAGTTGGATCAACTTTCGAGGATGGGGTTCAGGTACAGATGTCACTGCTTATTGTGCAGTTTTCAGGAGGTCATTTAAGTGTCCTTAGCCGCAGCTTCTTCAAGTGTAAAATAGAGATGATAATACTTGTCTCATCTATATCATAGTGTTGATGAGAGGAGTAAAATAATGGGTATGAAAATATTTTACTATCCACAGAGTGATAAACACCTGGAGTATTGTTGCCACGGGTGTCAGGATGGGTGGAGCACCAAATGCCCAAGGCCAGGCGAGGCTGAGCCGGATGGTGGTGGCCTCAGGGCCTTTGCACTGGGCCTGTCTGTCCAGCTTCCTGCCCTTGTCATGTCCAGCTTGTAACTCCAAGGCCACCTCCATTCAGCCCACAGAATCTAAGCCTGTCCCTGCCCCATCGCCACCTGCCACCTCCCACCTCATCCTGTCTTTTTTACTTCTAAGTTTTGATTAACTGAAATGGTCTGATTAACTTATTTGTGTACCTCCCTTTGCTAGAGTCATGCACATGAGTGAGGCAGAAACCTTGCCTATCTTGCACCCACCTTCATCTCCTCAGAGCCTAGAACAGTGCATGGCATGTGGGAGATGTTCCGAATTTCTGCATGTTTGTTGCATGAATGAGTGGAAAGGGCTCAGTAGTGTCCACAGACCCAATCAGGCAGAGAATCAGGAGCCCTGAGAAGATTGCTAAGAATCAAGTGTAGTTGCTGTGACCTCAACTCTTTGTTCCTGAATCTCTTATTTCTTTGGTTATTGAGAAACAAATTCAATTAAATGCACAGTAATTGTAACTTAATTGAAAATTCCATCAACTCACCATCTGAATTCACAATGTAATCTCTTACAACAGAATAAAAATCAAGAGTCAGAATTCATATGATTGTTATTTTTAGAGCATGTAATCTCTTATAACAGAATAAAGAATGAGAATCAGAATTTACATATATATATGCTTTAGAGCATGTAACAGGCCATGAAATCACACAGTGTTTCCAATTTGGCAGCCTGGTGAATTCAGTCTCCAAAAACATAATCTTGTTCTGAACTACATGTAATATGAATTAGAGTTAAAACTTGTGAATTGGATGCAATTAACATCCAACTGCTCCCCACATGGAACTGACTGGTTTTTAACTTGTTGTGTTGTCCCCCCCACTGCACCCCCAACAGCTGGCACCAGTCCCTATTCCCTTGTTCCTTGTGAATTGTTACTGTGTCAGTCTGATGTATATGGGTAGACTGTGCTGGACTTCCTGAGTTCTGTGAAATGAACATCAACACGGGAGGTGTGTGGAGTGTTGCAGGTTAGTTACCCAGCCTGCAAATCCAGGTGTCTCCTGTCTGCCTTCACAAGGAAGTTTACACCTGGCAGCTTACTCACTCCCTGGAGATGCTGGGGCCGCCCTAGTTGGTACTCCCTTTTCTGGGGGTGACTGATGAGTCATTGGTTCTCTCCCAGGGTCACCTGTCTGTGTGCCCAGTTTGAAGCCGTCCTACAGCATGGCTTGAAGAGGAGTCGAGGATTGGCACTCACAGCAGCAGCGATCAAGCAGGCAGCGGGCTTTGCCAGCAAAACCGAAACAGGTACTGCTCTGCCTGGCCATAGCTTGGAGGAGCTTGTGTTCCTTCTGCTCTCTCTTTTTCTTTTTTGTTTATTTTTTAATAGTGGGTGAGGAAGTCATCGCGTGGGACTTGGTGGTGGTATGTGTGCACACAGAAATCCATGTCTTAATTGTAGTCAAAACGTTATGGTGTTGTCTGGCATCTGAATTTAAATGAAGTCATCTTTTGTGCAGAATTCTCAGAGCCACATGGTACAGTCTCTTCTGGGTTCAGGGACCTGCAGCGCTCTGGTTTATTTCGCCAGTGTGGCGTGCCAGTTGCTGGGAAATTAATAATCTGTTTTAATTTGATGCCTGAGGATAGCATGGCATTTCATAATTAAATGTCTTCAACACCAGCAACAGAGACCCCAGAGATTCTGTTATCATCCAATTTAGTGTTGGAAAAACATTTCCATGTGAATGACAGGCACATGCTAAATAATAACTATTAACACTTAGTACTTAGTGCAAGCCTTGCACTTTGATATAAATTAACTCATTCAGTTCTTCGATAGCTCTGTGAGTAGTAGGGACCTTTATTATCGCCACTGTACAGGTGAGGAAACTGTTCATGGTGATCTGCTTTGGAGCTGAACCCTGAAGTGGATCATATCATATAACAAATGTCTTGTGGTCTCCTCCTCCCCTGAGCTTTCAGTTCGAGCCCTGCCCATGGCTGCTGCTGGGAATCCTGGAATCTTTCTTATCACCTTGATATATCAGTGTCATTGCTGAGTAAAATGTGCTGTCTTCAGCTGGTTCCCCTTTCACAGCCAAAAGTTGGACCTTGTTGCATTTAGTGGCAGTGGTGGAAATTCTGTGCTCACAGAATCTTAGTCTTTCCCTCTCCCTCCTGTTGCTGTATTATGCTTCCTTTTTTCTCAGCCCTTCAACAGCTCTATTTATTTATTTTTATTTATTTAGGGTTGGGGTCTTGCTTTGTTGCCCAGGCTGGAGCGCAGTGGTATGATCATGGCTCACTGAAGCCTGGAACTCCTAGGCTCAAGTGATCCCCTTGCTGAGCCTCTGAAGTAGCTGGGACTGCAGGCTTGCACCACCATGACTGGCTGGTTTTTAAACTTTTTTAGAGATGGGGATCTAATTCTGATGGCCAGGCCGATCTCAAACTCCTGGACTCAAGTGATCTTCCACCTCAGCCTGCCAACTAGCTGGGATTACAGATGTCAGGCACCGTGCCTGGGTCCAACATATCTTTTTTTCTTCTTTTATTGAGACGAAGTCTCGCCTTCTTGCCAGGCTGGAGTGCAGTGGCACAATCTTGGCTTACTGCACCCTCTGCCTCCTGGGTCAAGGAATACTCTTCCTCAGCCTCCCGAGTAGCTGGGATTACAGGTGTGCGCCACCATGCCCGGCTAATTTTTGTAGTTTTAGTAGAGATGGGGTTTTGCCACGTTGACCAGGCTGGTCTTGAACTCCTGACCTGTGATCCGCCCACCTTGGTCTCCCAAAGTGCTGAGATTACAGGTGTGAGCCATTGTGCCCGCCTTTGGTACATGTGATATTTTGATACATGCATAGAATGTGTAATGACTTCAACAGATCTTTGTTTTTTTTTTCTCTCGCTTTGGGCAGTCTCCTGGGGCTTGAGTAGGCTCAGAGAGGCTCCTAGATCTTTGATTCTTTTTTATTTCACCAGTTACTCATTTTCAGAAATGAATCAAAGCATAGTCTGAAAGAATCGGACTGCCCAAAGAAAGAAAAAAAGAGGCAAAGATCTGTTGAAGTCATTACGCATTCTGTGCATGTATCAAAATATCACACGTATCACATAAATATGTACAAATATTACCTACCAGTAAGATAATGCGAGCACGGTGGCTCACATTTAGAATTGCTTGAACCCAGGAGGCAGAGGTTGCGGTGAGTTGAGATCGCGCTACTGCACTCCAGCCTGGGCGACAGAATGAGACTGAGTCTCAAAAAAAAATTACAAGGTGATTGGTGCTGTTCAGAATATACCAGAGACACAGTTACCGTTGCTGAGCTGCCTGTAAAATTTAAGTTGTAACCTTCCCTGTCTGTTCAGCAGCCTTGGGCACTGAGGATCTTCTGACTTTGAAACACTGCCTTCCCCTGCTTTCTGTGATGCCATAGCCTCCTGTCACGCTTTCTTCTTTTCTGATCCTTCTTGGCATATCACTTCTGTACCCTCAAATATTATTCATCCTTGGATTCATTGTTGGCTCTTGTTTCTACACATATTGTTTGGATTCATTGGTGAAGTTGCTATGTATGTGCCTTTTATTCTTAGACCCGCAGCCCAGATCCCTTCCTTGAACTCTGTCTCTTGAATGTCTATTTGGTTGTAAAGCATGGGCTCGTCAGTCTCCAAGACTGAATTCTGATCTTCATCCATCTGTGTTCCTGTGTTTCTTGCTTAGTAAATGGCTCTGCCCTTTACCCAGGCCTTCTGGACTGCTCTTGGGCTTCCTCCTGGCCTTCTCCTGCTTTTCTGCTCCTAAACCAGCCCTGCACATCACTGTTTTCTGTCTCTCACATGGGTCCCTGAGCTATTTGCAGCTTCTCTGTCCTCAGTGAGTTCTCTTCTTTCTCTCTGAGTTGTGTTTTTCTGATTTCAGTCTTGATCAGCTCTAAGCCACTTTGTGCATCATGGGGTGGTCTTCTTTAATGACCCTCCCACTCCCTGACTTATTCCGCATACCCCCACTGACTTAAAGCTCTTCCATGGGCTCTTGTAGAGTTGGGACAAAGCATCCAGTTCTTGACGTGGCTTCTAGGGCTCTCTCCCTGACTGACTTTGCCTGTCTCTGTTCTACCTCGTATTCTGTACTGTACACCAGGGCTGACAGGCAGTGGCAGGTAAAACATCACCACTCTTACATCCAGTTGGCATAGAAATGATGGCCTGAGGCCCACAAGCTCCCTTCCTGCCATGCCCCTGCCTTGGGACTCTTGGGACCTCTCCACAATTCAGCAACTAAAGCACTAATGGCAGTTCTTGTGTGGGGCAGGGCCTTCAGCGCCACTGCCTGTGACTTGCTTGGTGCCTCTCACTAGTTTAGATAATTCAGTCCTGTATTTGTTTCTATTTTTATTTTTTTTTTAGACCGCATCTTGCTCTGTCACCCAGGCTGGATTGCAGTGGCGCGACCTTGGCTCATTGCAGCCTCTGCCTTCTGGGTTCAAGCAATTCTTGTGCTTCAGTCTCCCAAGTAGCTAGGACTACAGGCATGTACCACCATGCCTCCTAATTTTTGTATTTTTAGTAGAGATGGGGTTTCCCCATGTTGACCAGGCTGGTCTTGAACTCCTGACCTCAAGTGATCTGACTGCCTCAGACTCCCAAAGTGCTGGGATTACAGGCATGAGCCACTGTGCCCAGACCAATCCTGTATTTTGAACAGCCCTCCTGGTTTCTACTGTCTTGAAACTTCAAGTCTGGGAGTTCTTCCCTTCCATTACCCTCCTTCCTTCCCCAACTCTAACCTAAGCTCCTACTGGCCAAATTTCTATTCTCTCTTAAAAAAAAATACGGTAAAATCTACATAATGATATTTCCGATTTTAGCCATTTGAGGTGTACAGTTCAGTGTAAGTGTACTTAACGTACATTCACATTGTTGTACAATAGTCATTACCATCATTCATCTCAGAACCTTTCCATTTTTACAAACCGAAACGGTATACTTATTAAATACTAACACTCACTTTCCCAGACCCCCGCCTCTGACAGCCAACATTCTACTTTCTGCCTTAGTGCATTCTACTTTGGGTTCCTTGTGTAAATGGAATCATGCAATATTTGTTATTTTGTGTCTGGCTTCATTTAGCATAACATCTTCAAGGATCATCCATGTTGTAATATGTGTCAGAATTTCCTTCTTTTTAAAGGCTGAATAATATTTTTGAGGGTACGGAGAGCCCATACTTTGTTTATTCCCATGACAGTTGGGTGTCTTCTATTTATGGGCATCTTCCATTTATGGGCTATTGTGAATGGTACTGCTGTGAATATGGAGCTACAAATATTTGTTTTTTCCACTTTTAGTTCTTTTGGGGCATACACCCAGAAGGAGAATCCTGGATCATATGGTAATTTCATGTTTAATTTTTTAGGAATCATCAGACGGTTTTCCATAATGGGTATACCATGTTACATTCCCATTAGCAATGCACAAGAGGTCCAATTTCTCCACATCCTTGCCAAACCCATAGCCTTGCCAATGCTGGTATTTATTTATTTATTTAAGACAGAGTCTTAATAAATAAATATTAACTCTTTCACCAGGCTATAGCACGATCGTGGCTCACTGCAACCTCCATGTCCTGGATTCAAGTGATTCCCCTGTCTCAGCCTCCTGAGTAGCTGGGACTAAAGGCATGCGCCACCACGCCCGGCTAATTTTTTGTGTTTTAGTAGAGATATGGAGTTTCACCATGGCCAGGATGGTGTTGATCTCCTGACCTCATGATCCGCCCGTCTCAGCCTCCCAAAGTGCTGGGATTACAGGTGTGAGCCACTGCATCCAGCCTGATTTTTTATTTATTTTAATTAATTTATTTTTTTGGGACGGAGTCTCACTCTGTTGCCCAGGCTGGAGTGTAGTGGTGCGATCTTGGCTCACTGCAGCCTCCGCCTCCTGAGTTCAAGTGATTCTCCTGCCTTAGCTTCCTGAGTAGCTGGAATTTCAGGCATGCGTCACTGTGCCTGGCTAATTTTTGTATTTTTAGTGGAGAGAAGTTTTTACCATGTTGGCCAGGCTGGTTGTGAACTCCTGGCCTCAAGTGATCTGCCTGCCTTGGCCTCCCAAAGTTCTGGGTGTCCAGGCGTGAGCCACTGCACTCGGCCTATGCTGGTTTTTTAAATTAGAGAAGAGGTATGGAGCTTTAATTGTATACATGGTAAGAACCAGAGAGTGATTACCACCCCTCTTTTTTCATATATATGTGTATAATAATAATTATTTTTTATAGGGACAGAGTCTTCCTATCTTGCCCA